GATGCATCCTACCTCAGGAAACCGTTATTGAATATGTCAATTGTGTTGTAATGATATGCTTCTTCTAAGTATGTTGTTATTAAATAAATCATTTTTAAAAATTAAAAAAAATGCATTAAAGACTATGACTTGAAAAAAAATAATAATAAAAAAGAAAAACAAAATCAGGCTGTGATCTCAGCACACCACCAGAGAGTACCAGGTTCTGCCCTCTCTCTGGCACAGGGACTGAGAATGCAGGGGACTGCCTGGATCCTGCCTCCATGTGGTGAAGACTTTGAGAGGGAACTGCCACTAATTCTAACCACTCCAACAGCTATTAAAATACCTGAAAGCAAATCCTGAATCCATTACTGTTGAGTCCAACCTTGACAGACAAAAGAAAAATGAGGAGGAACCCAATAGAGGGGTGCTTCTGGAAGCTCTCGTCAAGAAATCCCAATGGACTCTGATATGAACATTTGAAATTTGCCATGTTCTGACTTTTTTTTGGTTCTCTGTCTAGAATTTGTAATGCTAATTACTCTTGTCTTTACTTCTCCTTCACATCCCCTATTCACCAGTCAAGGTAACCGATAAGAGTTATGTAATTTGGGAGTCTTTTCGATAGACCCACTGAAGGGGTACCCCAATTGCCTCACCCTGTGTCTGTTCAGCATGGAAGAAGCCAGAGCAGTCTGCGTCCCAATTCCCTATTAGCAATTTGGGCAACCTCTTCAGGGGATGGTATGATAAGAATAGGCTAAGCAGTTAGGGTAAAAAGACCCCAAAGAAATGTAGCAAGTTTCTTGGCTAAAAGTCAAAATGTCCTTGGGCCTCTTAGCAACATACTCTGTTCCAAAGGCCAAAAATGACAAAAGTATTTGGGAGCTCTTATCTAATCCCTAAAAGACTTTAGGGTTACCTCTTCAGAGGGGTAATGTTAGAGTAGCAAAAAGCCCCATTTAAAAAAGAAAGAGAGGGCTGGGTGTGGTGGCGCACGTGGAGATAGTGAGTTACAGGACAGCTGGGGCTACAAGGAGACCCTGTCTCAAAAAGGAAAAAAAAAAAATGCAGCTCTAATCAAGCTGTCCACAGGGCGTCCAGGTCTTGCCTGGCACTCAAGATCTCATATGCACTACATAGCCTGGTCTTCCCTTCATACCATTCATTCAAAATTCCTATGGGAGGTGTTGGAAGGGAGAGAGTGAGTGTGAATTTGATCAAAACACCTTATATGCCAGTATACAATAAAGTTTCTTTTAAAAGTTAAAAAAATGCTGGGCATGGTGGTGCATGCCTTTAATCTCAGCACTCAGGAGGCAGAGGCAGGCAGATCTCTATGAGTTCAAGGCCAGCCTGGTCTACATAGTGAGTTCCAGGACAGCTGGAGCTATAGGAAGACACTGACTCAAAAAGACAAATAAAAAAAAGGTTTTAAAAAAAAAAAAAAAAAAAAAGTTTTAAAAAAAAAAAAAAAAGAAATCCAAGCACCCCTCCGCCCCAAAAACAAAACCTATTTGGGGGCTGGGCCTGGTGGTACATGCCTTTAATCCTAGCAAAGACAGGCTGATCTCTGTGAGATGGAGGTCAGCCTGCTCTACACAGCCAGTTCCAGACCAGTTGGGGCTACAGGGAGACCTGTCTCAAAACAAGCAAGCAAACAAAAAATTTTGACAGCGACAACTCTCACTGTGTGAAATTTCTAGTGTGTTTGTTTAATAGCAAGTCCCATTCTATGTTAAAGCAGTTACTGTGTAATTGAGATGCTTACCTTTTCTGTTATGTTAGGAATCTGGTTCTGAAGTGGCTAAGCAAGCAGAATCAGACTTCAGTTGAAAGTTACGGTGCTTGCCAGGCATGGTGGCGCATGCCTTTAATCCCAGCACTCAGAAGGCAGAGGCAGGTGGATCTCTGTGAGTTCGAGGCCAGCCTAGTCTACACACCAAGTTCCAGGTTGGCTGGGGCTACAGGGATACCTTGTCTCAAAAAAAGTGCTGAACTAAGTCTTCGCTGATACCACATAAAAGACTGCATACCTTTTCAATTTGTTTTTGTTTACTGAGTTCTTTTTGTTGCTTCTCTTTTACTCTCTCTATTTCTTTTTGTTTTTCTGATGCTCTACGATCCTAAAAGAGATGAATAAGGCCAAGTAATAAAATATTAAGTAACTCTGAGTTTGCACATTTCCATTAATATGACCTCTGTATCTCAACTTTTTTATACTTATATACAAGATGGCACACCAATAGTTTTCATTCTATAATAGACATTAATTCCAGATTCCAAATGCTATATGAGCAATAGCATCCACTGGTAATCTTGCTTAGAAAAATAATTTTATTTACTTGCTAATATGAAAGATCTTTTATTGCAGCACTTTAGCTAACATCCTTACAATATTGTCTCTTGGATTCTTACCAGTTCAGCATGCAAAGCTATCTGTTTTGCCAATCCAACAGAATCACAAATCTAAAAAGGGAAAAAAGTATGAAAACTTCAGATATGCCTGTATCAAACCAAAAATTCCAAGTATCTAAATAAGTGACATAACATAGTTTTACAGTAACCCAAGACAATATACTGCCTCAAATAAAAATTGATTTAAGGGTATTTTAACCCAAAAGTTTCAGCATGTTTTCTTCAGAGTCTCTCAACTTCCATTGCTGGCTCTTCCCTCTGCCATGTGCCCACCTCACTTCTCATTCTATTGACTTCATGACTGAAGTAGTAAGGCTTGCTGAGAATGAAGGATGCAGCTGCTGATAATGCTCTAAGCCAATGACACCTGACCATGATTGATTATGGACATATATGCTATTTTCAGGGTAACTTAATGAGGCTAATAGACTAAACCAGTTATCAATATTGAGAAAGACGCAGGTCTATAGCGTCTGAAGGCTCAACCCATTAGCTTGGCCCTCTGCATAGCAACATGCTTTAGTCAAGCAGCTCAACTGGACTAGGCTTAATCTGGAAGTTTTTTCCAGAAATCTTAGTTTAAACCTGTGACTCTGATAGGTTATTTCATAACAGAAACATTTTGAAAAGCAAGGTAGGTACCTTTTCCCCTTCATTATTTGATTCAAATATATAGCAGACTGATGACAAATTACTTTCGCTTCTGCCGCCTGATGTTCGGAGAACAAATCCAAAAAGTCGTTTATTTTCCTGGTGTGTAGCATATAAAACTACACATGGTAATGGAAACTGCCACAGAAACATCATAAACCAATGTGAGATCTTCCAAACCATTAGAACAGTACTCAAGAGATGACAAACTCATAGACTAAATTCTAAAAATATCATAAATAGAATTGTAAAGCCAAATTTTCAATAAACTAGTAATCTAAGAACAATATTGTCATATTTGGTTTGAATTACCAAAAATAAGAGGTTGTTGAATGTTGAATATTATTTTCTTTTTCAATAACATATTTTTACAAACATAAATTCAACTACAAAAGTGGTCTGCTTAATAAATGATCAAATAAAAACACATTTGCAGCTACACCGAAATATATACTCATAAACTCAATCATGTTTACTTTTTAACTCTTATTGTTAATTTCTTTGGTATCTAATTCTCTAACGAATCAAACCAAAGTGTATTGACTTTTTCAAGTTACACAAAATGCTCATTAACTTCTTGGCTATATACTTAACTAGAGCCTAAAGACTAATTTTAATTGATACTACTACACCAAGATATACAGGATCAGGATTATTATCAAGTTATAAAATGTGTATATGACCCAAAGAGACTTTTAATCGTGTAGAACTCACTGTGAGCCTTGTAACTTGCGTCTGTGGATCAATTAACCTATAATAATTAAATTTTGGAAAACAAGTTTCAATTCGACTGAAATTATACAATCCTTTTCCAACAAGTGTATTTACAGAGGGTTACTACTTACTTTAAACAATCACAAGTGACTAATAAATGTGATTCTGTCATCCGAAAGATGTTGTGGATGGCCCGAGCAGCTAAGATCTGGCGCATAGTTTCATAGACAACATCTGGATGGTCATCTGACTTTACCTCCATAGAACCAAGGAATCGGACAATAAATAACTGATGAAGAATTGAATCTGTAACGGAACACGGTACATTAAGGTTGGGAAGTGGCTTTTTGTTTTCAATTTTGTTTTGAGAACAGGCTGGCCTTAAATTTGCAATCCTCCCATTTTAGCATGCTGGATTCTGAGATTATAAGCATGTGCTACCCTGACTCACTGTTTTTTGTTTGTTTAGGGTTTTTTGAGACAAGGTCTCCCTTTAGCCCCAGCTGGCTTGGAACTCTCTAGGTAGACTAGGCTGGCCTTGATCTCTCAGAGATCTGCCCATCTCTGTCTCCTGAGCTTCAGTGATTAAAGGTGTGTACCACCACACCGGACTCTCACTATGTATTTTTAAACCCCACTATTCTTTTCCAAAAGAATATACTGCCTCCTTTTAGATTTTCTAGTGAAAAATTAAATCCAAATGAGTTACTTAGAAATAATTCTGCTGGGCGTGGTGGCGCACACCTTTAATCCCAGCACTCAGGAGGCAGAGGCAGGTGGATCTCTGTGAGTTCAAGGCCAGCCTGGTCTACAAAGTGAGTTCCAGGCCAGCTGGGACTACAGAGAGACCCTGTCTCAAAAAGACCAAAGGAAAAAAAAAAGAAATAATTCCTAAGTACAGTGTTCAAATTATAGGGAAATTAAGTTCTCAGTTTAAATAGTAAGATGGAATGCTTCAATAATGCAGTTTTGGATAAAGATAATTTCTTGCACTATTCCTGTGGCTTTTCTGTAAATTAAAAAAAAAAAAAAAAAAAGCTAGTGAGGCTAGGAAGATTGCTTAGTGGGTCGTGGTCACTGAAAAAGTATGAGAGCCCCAGAGCCACATAAAAGCCAGGCACAAGAGCAAGCACAACAGTGGGTGTCTGTAATCCCAGGGCTTGAGCATGTGGAGCAGAGAAAGGTAGATCCCAGGGACTCACTGGCCAGCAAACTCCAAGTTTAGAGAGAGCCTATCTCAAAAAAAGGGTAAAGAACTAAAGGAAGATACAGGATGTTAACCCCTCCTCCATAGGCACACACATATGTAAGTGAACACACACACACACACACACACACACACAAAAAAAATAAATAAAAAATAAAAAATAAAAAAC